ATAAATCACGCCAGTCTGCAGTAGGGACGCGGTGCATTCTCAGCTTTCGCCTGGTATCTGCGTGGGGAAAAAGCGAAATGTTGCACAGATCCCCGATCGCAGTGTTTCTGCAGCGCTGAAGGACAAGGGGCGGATTCCTCGTTTGACGCTACACGACTCTTTAATCGAATTCACGAGCGGAGTGAGGACATCATGATCGGAGAGTTCGAGTACTGTGTTTGTGCTCAAGGTGCACACTGGACACGATGGGGGGGGTCTCGTTTTTCTTTGAAATCCAGCACGACTCCGTGTCGACCGCTGTAATGAACAGTAGACGCACACGCCCTTTGGAGCCAGGCCAGACCATGCTGAAACAGCCCAGCTACAGCGGTGTCTGGGCGAAAAGGTAAGAGATACCAGATTCGCCTTTCACGTCTGTTTTGGCTGTGTCCAGTTGTGTACTGTGGAGAGTAAGAGTTCCTATTGTAACACTACAGTAGGTGGTGTGAGAGAAATCTAGCCCTGACATCCTAGCCTTGTCCTATGCCAGCAGATAACTAACGCCCTAAAGTTGGGGGTTACTATGCTGGGTATGTCACATTTATTCTCCGGCACAGCTCTGAACTAGGTGAAGGACTATGAATTCCCAGTCTTTTTCACTGCTTTATAATTGTTTTCCTACTGTATCTACTGATAATGTACAGTCCAAGGGTTTGAGAGTCCTGCTTGATAATTGATATTTATAATTGATATTTATCCATCTGCAGTCACTGTTGAAGAGAAAGTAATATTCAATTCAATTCAAGGTGCTTTGTTATCATGACCGATGGGTACAATCAGTGTTGCCAAAGCAAATGAAATAATGAAATTCACATGAAACAAAACAAAAAATAACAACAATATAAAATCTACAGGCATATTCCAGACATTTACAACAAAGACGTATTATAAAATATTGCCATATTCTGTAGGCAGCTGAAAGAGATGCACTTCGGTGTCTTATTGTCCCAGTGCAGTAGGCTCCTTTGTCCAGGGAGTTTTTCTGTCACGTGCTGTAAGACCCGGTTCTGTCCCGGGCAGGTGTTTTCTGTCTGGTGCTGTTAGGCCCGGTTCTGTCCCGGGCAGGTGTTTTCTGTCTGGTGCTGTTAGGCCCGGTTCTGTCCCGGCGAGTATCCGTGTTATTGGTTGGGAAGCCCAAGGTGCACTCCGGTGTCTTATTGTCTCATTGTTGTTTCCTTGTTTCGTTGGCGTTCCGTTGTTGTTCCCAGAATGGATCAAAAGTGGTGTGATGAGACGAGAGCACAGCTATCAGACTATGTGAGTAAGGAGAGGAGGTTGAAGGAAACGGAAGAGAAATTGAGGAAAAAATCTGCCAGAAGGTGGGTGAGACGTTGCAGCGTGTGGAAAGGTGTTTGAATACTGGGTGAATAGTACTCAGCCAGAATAGCCAGCAGCCATCTCACCCTGCAACTCACAACTAGCAACCCACTGGAGCCCAGCAGGTGTGAGCCTGGTCAGTACCTGGAGGGGAGACTCCTGGGAAAAACTAAGGCTGCTGCTGCTGGGAGAGGTGTGAGTGGGGCCAGCAGGGGGCGCTCTCATCCTGCGGTCTGTGTGGGTCCTACGTGGGCCAACGTCTTCCTAGTCTTGAGTAACCAGCAATCAGATAATGGGATACCTGACAAGTAACTGGAACTTGAACTTTATCCTCATATGTACTGGTACAGTGGAATTCTTATTGACAGGAAGTCTCTCGATTGTTAAAACAAGTGTAAAACCACAAAGTGCAGACAGTGCATCAAAACAATATACTGTACAAACAGTAGACAATGTGCAAGTTAACAGTTTGAATGCAAACAACGCAGACATATAAACAGTGTTGTGTCATACAAACGACGAAGTTCAGGCGTCTGTGAAGCAGAAGTCTCTCTTTCATATGCATATGACAGTCCGGCCTGCAAACCACCCGACTTAAAAAATAAGTAGCTGAAGATGGTCCTTTATACCTTAAAACACAAAGAGTTTTAAACAAAACATTCTAAACAAACGATAAGACAGCAACACGTGCCAATTAATTATATC